GTGGCTGCAGATGGGACAGAGGATGAGATGATTCAGTGTTTCAAGGCAGGACAACTAGTACACTGTGCTGTAGTAAATAGTAAATAGTGGTGATTTACAAAAACACCAAAAACTATTTTTACTGTTAAAGTAAAGTTTGTTACTGTTGATAATACAGTACTTTATTTGTAATACTATATAGAAAATATACATTTTTACTGTAACGACAAGTTTACATAAATATTTCTGCTGTTTCAATTTAAAAAAAAATGCAGTATTTGTATTTTCATATTTGGCTGTGATTTTTTTTTTGTTTTATTAAAAGCCTCCTTCAAATAGTAGTCTGCCCCTATTTGTAGCCTGGTCCCAAACTAATTTTTTGTTAATAGTAGTACTATTTGAGGAAATCTGTATGTATGTAACATACAGTCACTGGCCACTTTGTGTACACCTGTGTAATCTAATGCAATCCAGTAAAACGACTATACCATGATTTTTTCCCTGAAGCTTATAAATTTTCGGTTATTGTTGACATCTTCTAGAAAGTGTTGATTCTACTTTGTTTTTTATTGAGGTCATAGTGAATGGTGGTGGTGTACTGTGGTGTCCTCCTAATTTTGTCTAATTGAGGAGGACAAAATATTAGGAACACTTTTAAATATATTGCACTCCAGTACACCAACACCACCCACTATGACCTCAATAATAAAGTAGAATAATCACCTTTCTGACAAAAGCTGAAAATGTAAAAGCTTTGTAAACGTAGAATGTGTGGCAGAGCTGTTGTATTGGATTGTATTAGATTGCACAGGTGTACCGAATAAAGTGGCCAGTAAGCCCCACATTTACACCACCAATCCATGCCTGCTCTGGATCTCCCCGCAGCCCCTGGTTGCTTGGCAGCCTCAGCCCGAGACCATGCTGATCAAAAGTTATTAAAAGCTTTTCTCTATGTCAAGGGGTGTGGCCGCTATGACGCTGCCCTTGCCACCAAATATGTTTGGCTTTTTGATGGCTTCAGCGACCTCATATCCTCACGAAATTGATACACAGGTCAAGAATGGCGAGCTCTTACATGTGATAGGGGCGTCGCCCATGGGGGGGACAAAATGCCTCCTTAGCGCCCCCTTGAAATTTTCAAAAACCCCTCCCCATAGGGGTTTTCTTGGAGTAGGAAGATGAAACATCACACCACTTCAGGGTTAACTTACTCTGAGTTTTCACATAACTGCTTCAGTGATGTGTGCTGCTGGCCCCCCACGGTGGCGCAGGTGAGCGAGGGCCCGATCACAGCTGCTTGCAGCTGCTTGCACCAGTTGTAAAAGGGACATGTATGCTGTGTGATTTTTGCAGAATCAGTACTGGTGATCATGAAGTATTTTATATATGTTCAAAAGTAAAAGAATGTGCCTATAAACTAGTTTATCTAAAATTTTGAGAAAACATGGAACAACTGAAATAGGATGATAATCTCTGGTTGTACAATGGGAGTGTATCTCAACAAGAGTGACAGATAGAAAATTCGTGTTTTCATGGTACATACATGATAAGTCTACCTTGTTCCCCTTTCCCACAGAAGTGGTTGTAAAACAAGCAACAGCAGAAGAGATGTGCCCTCTCTTCCCTGAGCCTGTGCCCCTCAAACATCCCATCACATCTCTGAGGGTAGCCTTAGAAAAGGTGAATCTGTCAGCTAGGTTTTGTCATTCATATTAAAATGTTTGGTCGTGTAGATACTTGGGATATATTTATAGTGACTGAAGTTTCTCCTAACAGATAGATACACTTCTGAGGTCAAGCGTTCACAGCACCAAGCTGCCAGCACTATCAGCCATCGTGGTTTTAAATGACTCTGTTCTGTGGAATGGAAACTTTGGCAAGAAGAACAGTAGTGACCCCTCCTCATCTGCACCCAATGAGTACACAGTGTACAGGTGAGATTTACAATCACACACAGTGTGGAGGAGATTAACATGAAATATGACAGCAATATGACAAAAGGGAAGTGGGGATTTGTCTGAAGGCCAAATGCTTAGTTATTGGTCCTAAAAGCTGCTCAGCCAGCCCATAATTTTAGCAAGTCTGTCTGAACAGTAATCATTGCTACATGATGTAACCTGCAGTCTAATTCTTCTATTGGATAATGCATTTGATCTGAGGCTTACAGTTAGTTAGTTAGAGTTAGGATTAGACCCTCATTGTATCAAATAAGCTTCATATAGGACCTGAGATCAATCAGACTGAATCATCAGTTAATGATCATCAGTTAATGAAGTGCTTAAATGTGATTTGTGCAGCAGCAGTGGGAATGCTATGTATTCTGAAAACAGGATACATTTATTTAATCATTGGAAAATGCATGTGTTGCACTCACTTTAATCACTGTGATTGCAGAATTGCAAGCCTCTCTAAAATCTTTCCCACACTGATGCTATACAAGCTGTGGGAGGATGGCCTGGTGGACTCTCTAGATGACCCTCTGGAGAAATATGCGGACAACTTCACCATTAAGGACCCGCTGCGGAAAACTGGGGGACCAGCATCCTCGTCAGCCAGGAACCTTGGCATCCAGTCTCCTGCACTCACCCTGCGCAGGATGGCCAGTCAGCTCTCTGGTAAGCACACAAGTTTGAATGTTTTTCATGACCTGGTGGTAATCTTTGATAAATCTACATTAAAGGAGCAAACATCAAAGAACTGTGTAGCCTGGATCGAGAGCTCTGAACCACCACCAACATCTCACATGTGTTCGGTCAATATTCTCCCAGTGGAGAAACACTAAACCAACTATAGTTTTACAATATAGTTAGAAAGCTGCCTTACTTAACCTGATCAGCAGAAAAAAAAAAAAAATGTTGCCATTCCATTCTGCAAACCACGCATATGTTATATTTGTACATTATAATGTAACCAATACGTTGACATTTTATGTTTTAAACAACAATGTGGTTAACGTGTGGTTATATTTCAGCACGAAAAACACTTGGTAATTGCTTAAAATACCTAGTTTGGGGGCACAAGCAGGAAAACCGCTTTTCATACCTGAAAAGTTGCTGAAAACAAAGCAATGGCTATCTAAATCACAACCAGTTTTGTTGTTTGTTGGTCTATAGCTTGATAGGCATCCAATCTAGGTGTCACATCATCCACCATCCCCTCCAAATCCAGATTATAAAGTCATCTCACATATTACATAACTTTACAAACACTGATATGGTATGTATAAAATGTACACATGTATGTATTTATGGATTGTAGCAACCTACAATGCCATTTTCTTCAAGTGACTGCGCTGATTTTACTACATTAATGAAAGCTAGTAATGGAAAAATGGACACAAATACACAACAAGCATGGATGAGAGGGACAGAGCTGTAAAGGTGGTTGTAAGTCCACTTATAAAATTAATTTTATAACAACATCTTTCTTTACTAATCATGAAAAACTTTATTTGATACCTTGTAGCAGTGGACCGACCTGGAGAATGTGTGTCTTTGGAGTGTCCACTAATAACCCAGGAACAAAGCACACTTTCAGACAGACCTTGAAGGCATTCCCTCTGTTGCACGCTGTTGTTTACACAACTAGAATTACCACCCCACAGTTGTATGCCTCTGCTCACCAGTCAAGTTTCTCTTACAGTTTACGTCCATGTCTGTGAAAACATACACAATTCACTCACATCTTCCCCCCAGCAGCACAGAAGATCTATACAATCGGCGCAGTTTCAAGATGGACACCTAAGATTAGTGTCAATTCAGTATCTGACTCCGGGTCATGCAAGAGTGATGTGGCTGTGAAGCTCTCGCTCTAAACCCTCAAATGAAGTATATTTAAGCTGAAGGGATTTATGCTGCAACTCTGGCAGAAGTATAATATTGGTTGTTGGCAGTCGTGGCATGAACCTTAGATCGGGTCAGGAAACAAGCACCCAGATTTTTTCAAAAATACGCCGTGGGAAAAACACAATGGAAGAGGCCTTGAGGCTGATGCTGAATGAGATGGAGAGGAAAATCTCCGGTCAAATCAGCGGGTTCAGAAGTGAGTTTCATGTTTTTCGCACTGAGATGAAGAGGGGCTTCAATGAGCTACAAAAAGAAGTGACATCTCTGGCTTCGGATCTAAAGGAAACTACTTGCAGAGTGGCTGACGCTGAAGAGAGAATAAACAAAGTTGAAGAGCGAGACGGTATTGTTACCGAGGCTCTCTCGCACCTGTTGCAGCAGCGTCAGCTGACAGACTGTGTGGAATATCTTGAAAATAAACCACGCCAGCTAAATATAAGAACATACTGGATGAAAGAAGAGAGTGAAGGCAATGTCATGGTGGGCTTTCTGAAAACTCTCTTTACTGACGCATTGGGAATCTCCGGTGATGAGCTCACTATTGTGCATGTGCACAGGTCTGATGCAAATAGACCGGTGACAGATGAGGACAGCCCCAGGTCCATTATTGTCCGCTTTTTACGATGGGACATAAAACAAAGAGTGCTGAAAGCTGCATGGGGTAAAAAAGTCTCCTATCACTTACCAGGACCCCCGGTTTCCTGGCACCAAGATCCGGATCTTCGTGGACCAGGACTTTTCTACCAAGCTGCAGCAGGAGAGAAGCTTCTATGCGCCAATCAGAAGGAAGCTTAAAGAAAAGAGGTTAAAGCCTTTGTGATCTATCCTTCCAAGCTGAAAGTCTTCACCAAGTACAGTATCCAGTTGTACAACACTGCAGCAGAAGTCTTGCAGGATCTCATCTCCAACGGTCTCATCAAGAGCGATGGCAGCAGACAGCAGGTGCAGGTGTCCTCGTCAGACCAGGAGGACTCCAGTGCAGCAGGATGGTCCGTGCAAAGCTCGAAGACCCAGGGCAAGAATCGGGATACACGTGGTAAAGTTGAGACTTTGCTTTGAGCTCTGGAAACGAAGTGAGTCTTCCCGCACGTAAGTAAGACTGAGGGCCTGAATGGAAACTTGATTTGGTGATGGTGTTTGTTAAACTGCGGAGTTAGGCTGAATAGGCTGAACTTGCACTTGGGGCTGTAGCCTCTTAGAACTGCTCTGTCTGGTTGTTTGGGTATTAAGTAGGCTAAATCTATCACTTTTATTTAAGGAATTTTTGTCAATGTTGTAGCCTATAGCCTATAAGTAGCCTAAACTGTGTTACATGATGTAAAAAGTAGGCTAACTTCTTTTCATTGGAGTTGATAAATCGGCCAACTGGCTGTAAATTAAATGCTGAGTGTTTGTTAATAGTTTAATTTATTAAAAATCAGCCAATGTGGCTGCATATTATTTCATTGTTTTGCTTATAGAACTAGTCTTACTTTCATTTTTAGAGAAATGGGATATGAAATCTGCCAATGTGGCTGTATATTATTTCATTGTTTTGCTGATGGAACTGGTCCTACTCTCACTTTTAAAGGAACAGGATATGAATCTGCCAATGTGGCTGTATATTATTTCATTATTTTGCTGATGGAACTAGTCCTATTTTCATTTTTCAAAGAATAGGATATGAAATCTGCCAATGTGGCTGTACATTGTAAATGTGCTGTAAACATATTGTTTCTGGCTATTTGCTTTCTGTTAGCCTTGCAATTGGTCCAAGTGGCAAATTGGTTTGGTTGCTAATTTTAGCATATTATTGTTCACGTCTGCAGCATCAATACTCTATTTCCCAATTTGTAAATTATTTTATTTTGAGGATGTCACAATATATTAGTTTATGTTTTTCTGATTCTGTTGTTTCTATATATGTTTGTATCTGTGTCTGTATGTTAGTTTTCATATGCAGGGGAAGGAAATAATATACTACCAAAAATACTATGCTGAGTTTGGATAGCTTGCCAAGAAAGGGACTGAGAATGGCTCATATAAATATATGCAGTCTAAGGAATAAAGTAACTGATATTGCGGAGATTTTGTCTGAAGGTGTTCATGTTTAAGCATTGTCTGAAACTCTCTTGGATGATACAATTAATGACTCTGCAGTTAGTGTTCATAGGTACACCATATTTAGGAGGGATAGAAATGCATTTGGAGGTGGTGTTGCAGCCTATGTCAAGTCTCATATAGCAGCTAGAATAAGATATGATTTAATGTCCGCTGACACTGAAGCACTCTGGATTCAAGTTAATTTACCTAATTTAAAGCCTTTGCTGATAGGCCGCTGCTACAGACCTCCCAATGCACAGGTAAATTATTTTGATGTAATATGTGAGATGTTTGATAAAGTGTGTGATCTTGATTATGAAATTCATATATTGGTAGATTTGAATATTAATTGGAATATGGATGGCTGTCCACTCAGAGATAAGCTATTGGGTGTGGCCAACGCCAGCAACTTAATGCAAATTATTGATAAGCCAACGAGAGTGTGCTTAAGAAGTTCTGGATCTGCAACAGCAACTTGTATTGATCATGTATTCACTAATTTTACTAATTTCTGCTCAAATCCATTATACATTCCAGTGGGGTTCAGTGATCACAATTTGATTGCTTATGTGAGGAAAATGAAGGTGCCAAAAGCGGGACCTAAAGTTGTTTTCAGGAGATCTGAAGTTGTTTAGCCAAGAGGCATTTGTAGATGATGTTGGAAATATATGTTGGGAATCTGTATTTGTGAAGCAGGATCCAGATGATGATGAAGTTCAATAGTTGTATTCACAAGTGTTAGAGAAACATGCCCCTCTAAGGAAATTTACTGTGAGCAGCAAACAATCACCCTGGCTGGACAGTGAATTGAGAAAACTAAAGATGGCAAGAGATGAAGCAAAAAAAGTTGCTGTTCAGTCTGGTCTTCAGTCGGATTGGCAAAATTATAAGAAGTTAAGAAATTATGTTAGTGCTGCTATTAAAAAGAAAAATAACTTATTCTATATAGCTAAAATTGAAGATGTGAAGAATGATAAGAAAAAATTATGGAATGTGGTGAATGGCGTAGTGGGGCGTATGCCTAGATCAAATCCTGCTTATCTTGAGGTGGACGGTAAATTCATATGAAAGCCTTTAAATATTGCAAACCATTTTAATGATTATTTTTATGCCAAGATCAATAATTTGAGGAGAAATATGACACACGTAGATGACAATGTCTCATCAACACTAATTAAGGATTTAATAATGATAAATAAAAATTGTGAATTTAACATCGAAAAGGTGACAATCAATGAGGTTGTTAGGCTTCTTTATAAAGGGAAGGATAGTCCACCAGGGGTGGATAATTTTGATGCTAAATTTTTTAGTATTGCTGCTGACTCTATTGCTGTTCCTGTGTCATATTTTTAATTTATGTATTGACAAAGGTGTTTTCCCGCAGAATTGGAAAATTGCCCAAGTTATGCCATTAGCAAAGTACCCTGCTGCACCTTTCTCTGGGGCGAATTGCCGACCGATTAGTTTGTTACCTGCTCTAGGTAAAGTCATGGAGAGGGTTATGTTTGAACAAATTCAATATTATTTTGATATCAATAATTTAAATAGTGATTTTCAACATGCATTTAGACCAGGAAACTCCACTTGTACAGCTCTGACGCATATGACAGATGAATGGCTTATGGATATGGATAATGGGAAATTAGTGGGTGTCGGTCTACTTGATTTTAGTGCTGCATTTGATGTTA